GTATACGATTGACAACCATGTTACTAAGTTTTTGTTGGACAGTTGAACAGAACTGTGTGCAGTCTCTCTGTTTTAATTCCACTTTACATGTTCCATTTTTGTATCTTGAACACTGTTTGTAAAACGACAATAGGTAAACATCAACTAGTGATTTCTTACTGTTTATTTTTTTCTCTAAACGTATGTATTATTTCTACTTGTTTTCTGTTTGATTTAGTCTTTCTTTAAATACAATTTTTTAAAAAAAGAATCAGAGTAAGCATTGTAACCAGCTGGGTCTTAGACCTGCTTGTTCATGGGTGTTATCTATCAAACCAATATTTGTAATGTTTTAAGTTTTTCTTTTACTTGATGTGAGTTATTCATTCAAAGACAAAACGTTTTCATTTATTGCTGCAGAAGTCCTTCTTGTTTCAGCCATAAGAAGATGGAAAAGTCTGTGGTTTTCAAGCACAGTTTCAGCCAAGGAATTTAAAGATTCTTCTTGAGCTCCTATAACAACCATTCAGAATTTCTAATTTCACTAAGCCTGTATAGTGATAAATTACAGTGATAGCCAGAGACTTCCAGTAGGGACCAGTTTAACAACTGGAGCCCTTTTCCTATAGCCAGACTATACTATTATTCTTTTATGTTATTTTAGTTAGACTTTTCTGCTGGCTGTTTAAGACTAAGTTAAAGTGAGGCCTATTTGTAATAGATAGATAGATAGATAGATAGATAGATAGATAGATAGATAGATATAGATAGATGGATTAATCAAGTCCAATTAAGAATTCTTAGGGATTATTTTTGGAACTATGTGTGGAACCTTCTAGATCCTTTGTCAATGTCATCTGCCAATATGAGTCAAGGTCTTGTTGACCATATATGTTTTATAGGTTTTGTATTTTATTATTAAGTAATTAAGCTCATGATGTGACTAACTTTTAAATTAATCTTTACCTTACATATCTATATGTAGGACAAAACTTTACATGTATAGGGTTCAGTAATATCTACACTCTCAGGATATCTTGTATATTTCCCATGAATATGGGGATCTATTAGCATAGTTCGAAACTCTGAATTACTGAGTTCTCATTTTTAGAAGATTTTAAAATAACATTATTTATAATTTATAAATTCTTTACTATGATTAAATAATAGAAGCTTGAGAAATTTATAATGTGTCAGTGTACACATTTTAAAGTTAATACAAATAAAGATTTAAAAATAATGTTAAGTAAATACTTGCATAGTTCTTGAAGAAAATAAAAAGTACATTGTTTATAGCTAATGGGAGTAGCATTATCTATAGAATACCAAACACAGGTTCTAGTTCCCTCCATGGAAACAACTATGTAAAAACAAAACTACATTTACACAAACTGCAAACCCAGTAAGAGACAGCAGCATAAAGGTAAGTGCTAAGCCAAGAACATACCAGAAAGCAAGGAAGGTTTGCTTCATTTACATGTCATAGTCTCCTGCTCTCCCGAGGGCTACATAATTGGAAGAAAAATTCCAGCTTCAAATTTTTCACTTGAAAGAGAGAAGACTGGGATACATATTTAATGTCCTGGGTTTTGGGAGACAGATGCTGAAGAGGTTTTTTGGAGATTTTCTAAGAGAAAAGTTGCTTCATTTCGCACAACTTAGAAAAATGAGTAAAATAGCCATCTACGCTGGATGCCTGGGGGCTGTGGAAAACAAAGAGAAGCATAAGAGACTATGATAGCATCAGAGAGACAACAGTAACACAGAGAACCACAAGAGGGAGCAAGAGCTTAGAAGCTCAAGGAGAATTAGCCTCTTCAACAGAGGCCTGAACTGCAGAAAAGGCATCTAAGAATCTCCAGAACTTGTATCTGGGTTGACTGGTAAAAATATTCCCTGTACAAAGCGAATCTATGAAGAACAGAAAGGGTGGATATCTTTTAAAATGCTCAAATCTCAGCACAAATTGCAAAATCTACTAGAAAATAGGTAAACATGGCCCAATGAAAGGAACAAAATGAGTTTCTCGAAAGCAACACAGTAGGACATATTATTACCTGACAGATGTTTCAAAATTATAATTTTAAAAATAGATGACAAGCTAAGTCAGTGAGACAACTAAAAATATCAGGTAATTAATGTATGAACAAAATGAAAATAATATTCTCATCTTTAACTCTTAACAGAGATCTTTTTTTAAATAAAAGAACTAAACCAAATTCTAGAATTGAAAAATACAACAACTGCACAGAAAATTTCACTACATGAATGAAAAATACACTTGATCAAGCATAAAATCAACACACAGGTCGATTTGAAACCATTGAGTCAGAAGTAGTAAATTAAAAGAAGGATGCTGAACAATGGGGAAAAAAGAACTTTAACACTTCAAAAAAGATAATTATATGCATTATGAGAGCTTCAGGAGAAAAAGATAAAGGATCAAAAAAGTTTGTTTAAAGAAATACCGACTGAAAATTTTTCAAATGAAAGAAAGAAAATGGATGCAAAAAGTCAGCTCAATTACATGCAGCTAAGCTAAAACTGGAAATACACTGAGATATGTTATAATTAGATTAACCAAGTCATAGACAGAAAATGCTGGAGAGAAAAGTATTTTTCTCAGTTGATGGGACCTCCCATAAGATTATTAATGAATTTTTCACAACAAACTTTTCATACCAGAGAGACAAATGTGAACTATTCAAAATTCTGATTGGAAATAAAATTTCAAATAATGTTCTTATACCTGTCAAAGCTGTGAACAAAAATGGAGACATCGAGGCTTTTTCAAGTGAATAAAACTGAATAAATTCACCTCTAGATGTACTCCCCAAGGAATGCCAAGAATTCTTCAAGTTTGAACAATAGGACACTGTATAATCAAAAAAAGCATATATAAGCTCTCTGATAAAGATGGAAATACAGGCAAATATAGAATACTATAGTTTTATGGTAGTACATAAATCATATTAAATTCTGGCATATGACATATTTCATCAATATTTGCTTTATATGTTCCTACACTTCCAAACACATTTTATATATAACTAGCACTACACTGATTGATACCAAATCTTAAACAGTAAGCACATAAACAAAATTTAGGAGAATATTTAAAGAATAATACATCATGACCAAGTAGACTTACACTAGAATGGTTCAACATAGAAGAATCACCAGAGTAATGAACCATCCTAAAAGGAGAAAATAATGTAATTATCTCAACTGATGTTACAAAAGCACTTGACAAAACTGTGCATCCTTTCATGATAAAACTCACAAAATTAGTAATAAACAATGCTATGGTTAAGAACTGGGGTGTCCCCCAAAGCCTCAGGGTCTTAGAGAAAGGACCTTTAGAAGGTAACTGTATTACCAGGGGAATGGTTGATACGCTGTTAGGAGGTGAGGTCTCACCGGAAGTTGAGGGTCACATGTCCCGGAAAGGCATTTCTCCTTTCTTTACTCCTCCCCTCAGTCTGTATTTCTTGCAATGACATGATCAGCATTCTAAAGTGTTAGTGTTACATGCAGAAAGATCTTCTGTGTTCATAAGAGAGTGCCAAGGCCCTCTTCTAAAGATTAGATGTCAGGGTGCTTGTCAGAGCAAGTTGCCATGAAGGGGACAGCCCATGAGCCTGGCCGTTCTCTTCTCTAGGGGTTTTCTCTTCCTTAGCTAATTCTTGAGATGACAACCCCACCTCCAGTCTTGCAAACCATTGGGACACTGCTGTTGTAATCCCAAATACTGTGTGCAGTCACCCAAGTATTGTAATCCTCTTTTTAGTTTTCCTCACAATCCCACTGAGACATTATTGGAATCTCAGCAAGTTAATTCCAATCTACCTCCTTTAAGGCAACACACGGCTAGAGAATAAAAAACACCAAGACAGATTCCAAGTTAAAGGCAGCCTAGGCAGCCTAAATCCAGTTCCCTTGAGTGTGTGCAGACAAGGCCCAGATGTTAGGCCTCTCCCAGAATTCACTATCTTGTAAGAAGGAGGGTGGCTGAGGAATGAGTGACAGTGAGGATGACTGAATTACTGAGTAACTGGAGCTGGCTAGCCAGGTGAGAGAAAGTGATGTGCAGAAGGATCAATTTACATCATCTAATTAAGGTAGCAACAGAATTGTTTTGGGAGGCTGTTGCTTTGGTTTTTCATATGTAAAATCTTAACCTCTTTACCTTGAGGCTCTTATCCAGTTGACATTCCCAGAACTGACTGGCACTAACATCCTGCTGTGCTCATATCCCAAACTGGGAACACTATGTGAGGAGAAAAGACTGTCTGTTGGATTTAGAAATTATACACCAGCACCTGGGCTAGCCTTATTTGCAATGCTTAGAGCCAATTGAAGAGAGAAGGAAATACCATAGCCAGCTCTCTACATATCAGTTTAAAAAATAAGTCTCCAAATAATCAAAGTCACAATAATTGTTTTACATTCAAGGGGAGTCTCTAGAGTTGCCTCCCATCCACTGCCACTTGAGTCTCAACTGCTATTTAAGGGGCCAGCCTCACCAAGAGAGGAACTTGGAAGTGTCACCTGTGGAGAGAAGGTGCTGCCCAGACCCACCCCAGGTGGCACCTTGACAGTTGTGCCCATTGAAGCAAAGCAGATGATTCCTGGGATCCCAGCAATGAGCTTCTCTGGAGGTGACAAAGTCCACAGAGAATAAAATGGAAACAATGAGAAATGAAGACAGAATTCACTTTCTGAAAAGTACATACAAGAGAAGCCACATGCACAGGAAATCGTCACTTGGACTCCAACCACATCTGCAATACTAATTTTCCATCCCATCAAAGTTCTACTAAAGGGACTACTTCATGAGTTGTTGAGCAGATTGGTAATTTTAACAATGAATTAGTTAATTTTATACTATAACACTATGTCCCAACTTTAAACTGTGATCTTAACACATGAAAATCATGTGTGCTCCTTCCCTGCTTTTAACCCACAATCCCACAGCATGTCCTGCAACAGTCACATTGAGGATTGATTAAATGCTTTACCTGTATAATGGTGGATCTTGCAATTTCCTTGGAAGATCCTGAGAAGCATTTTGGAAGTTCAGTCTTGTATAGGTTATTTCCTGCTCTGTTCCTGAAATGCAGCTTTTAGGCTCCTGTTGCTACTTCTTTTATTGTTTGTCCTGCTCCAGTTTCACCATGTTCCAGGCTGGGTGTGAACTGTGATCTTACTGTCTTGGCTTCTGAAGTGTAGTGATTACAGGTGTGTGCCATCATGTCTGGTTTGTAATTTAGTTATTTATAAATAAGTTATTTTTTCCCTGACAAAAATAAATGTCTCTGGACTGGATAATAAATTTCATAATATTCAACTGTCATTTTGCTAGAGATTGAAATGCTGTATGACCCCTCACTAAATTGCTCGTAACCCTTTAGTCATAATTGTCTATATTTAACAGGAATATCTCTTGTAAGTGACATAGTCCAAGAGAACTATATGATGAGGAAAAATTTTTTTTAATTTCAATATCATGTAAAAATGAGCATGGTAGACAAATTAAGCTTCTAAAACAAACTAAAATGATAAATGAACCTAAAGAAAAACAAAGCTTCAAATTTAATTCATTTGGTTTGCTTCCAATAGAATTATTTTCTTTTTTCTTCCTCTTGCATTGAAAAAATGCAGGAATACTCCTTATCTGTCACTCCAAGGAATAGTCACTTTGTTTACAAACTCCGCAATATCGAGATCAGGCAAATCTAAATTTTTAGCTTTCTAAAATCTACAAAAATGGAATTTAAATCCATTTAATACATAAAGCTGGATAACTTTGTAGTCATGTGCAACATAAAGACATTTTGGTCAACATGAATCACATATTCAGCAATGAGTCTGTAAGATTTTATTGTTCAATTAAAGAAAAGGGTGAACTCTATGCTCAGATAAACGTATAGTAAAAACTTAAAGATAAACCAAAATTACTCAGCATGAGTAGTTAGAATGTACTCTTCATGATATATATAGAGAGAAGCTAAATATATAGTGCAGTAATTAATTTGGCTAAAGATGATATCTACTCCTAGTACCTTCAGACAGATGAATACATTGAAAGTTATTAAGAGAAAATATTCTTTTAATATCATATGCAAATAGATTTACTTTCAAGGGATTAAGAAAAATAGAGACACATAGTTGTCTACTGAGTCTAAAGGAAATAATGATCTTCATAATTCTTTGAAAGAATTATGGTCAATGAAAACAGCATACACAAAAAGGAAAATAAAAGACATTATGTGGTTATATCTATGTAGACATTGAACAGATAAAATATAAATGGCAAAGTTTCAAATTTGAATAAATGTACTAACAGAATTCAGGGAAAAAGCGAGTCTTTGAAAATATTAAGATGTTCTTCAGCATTTGGAAAAGGATAAAATCACTAATTCATTAGAACTTGCATGTGTAAACAATACATGCAGTGAATGGAGGACACTAATAAAAGAATACTTAAAGTATATTAAATTTACATAATTACAGAAAATTATAATTAATAATTACTTACATATGTATAAATATATACATAAACAGTATATTTAGTACTATATAGAAATATAAAATGTATGGAGTAATATTTCATTAGTATAAACTATTTATTTTTAAAATATCTTTACATTACCTTAATGAGATATTCCCTTAACGTAAGTATAAAGATGACAGTTAAAGAGAGGAAAAACATGCACTATGTATTGCAACCAGTGGAAGACTAATATAGTTGATATCTCTCATTAAAAAAAGAATTGTCATTGGAAATGAAAAAACATTTTATAATGGCAGATTTATTATCCAAACCACTGACAGTGTTTTTGAAACACGTATTCACATTCTAAAATACAAGTTTCACATAGAACCAAAAGAAGTAAATAAGTAAACAATTATTAATAGACATTTAGACACTTCTGTATTGTTACTTATCACACAAGCAAATATCATAGTAAGGCTATAGAAATACTTTACCTGGATAAACCAACAAATACATACAAACATACTGATATATATACACTCCATACCAACACAGAAAACTTGTATTTTGAAATTCATGTAGATATTTCCTTAAATGCATTATATGCTCTTAATCTCATATATATTAATATAAATATGTAACACTGCACTAGTGAGGCAGGAGCCCACTAGTCAAGTTTTCCTAGTAGACACTTTGAATTTAAATTTTAATGAAAAATATGTAAAGGTTTAATATTTGTTCCTCAGTTTGCCTATATTTAAACTGAGTATAAAATATTTCAATTTCAAAAAAAATACCTAACCTCCTAAAAATGATGTCAATAACCAAAAATTTTAAAAATTCTATTAAAGAAATTATCACAATAAATGCTTACAATTTTTTTATGTATCCAGTAGTTTTTACTATGAGAAGATAAGAAATGTGGTTTCTTCGCATGCAATAAAGATGCCTGGAATTCAGCTTCACAGAATACATGCATGGAAGAGATTTTCTAGTAAGAGGAATAGATGTGTTATTCTGATCCTTTTGTAGTCAATGGTATGTTTTGAAAATGGTGACTTACCAAACCAGCTAAAGAAAACCAAAATACATACATATGTTTTCTTCTAAGTTCACTAGTCATTGTGTAGAAAAATTACAACCTTGGAAGCCCAGTGAATTAAATTTTTCTACTGAGATTAGAAACTCTTTGAAGAAGAGAGTCAATTTTAGCTTTCTAAAGAATGGTTATTTTCCTACACAATGCACAGAAACTTTATTCAGTTAATTTGAACAAATAGACATTAAAAGTAGTCTGTATGTGAGACGTATTCGCTGACTCCTAAATATTCTTCTAATTCTTGAGAAATTTTTACAAATATTTGATGGCCATAGTTTGGTAGGGTTGAAATGAGATTGCTTATATTTTGACCAAAAGGAAGTAAACACAAAGCACTATTCTTCCCTTGTAGTATAAATAATATATTTCAATAGTGATTTTTAATGTTTGTTATTAGAACACATCTGATTCAATTTAAGAACCGTATAATCATAATATATTTTCCATTTTATGAAGTAGAAAATTACTTGAGAGGCTCCAAATTCAGGTATATTAATTTTAAAATTTATATTTGCAATTATATGTGAGTGATGATCCACAATTTTCTGCTATAAAGCCAGATAAAGATAACCAAACACAGTTGGATTCATTAGATGATGAGTTCTTTACTCTGAAATGGTGAAAAATACACCAATGAGTTATGTTTCGGGAGTAATCTATCAAACAAAAGCATTTTTCTGTTTAAAAAAGTGATATACTTTCATGACATATTAAATAGATAATGACTTTTCATATAATAATATTAAATGCTGGTGTTTGGAAAACATCATTCATTAATATTTATATTAATATTTTACAAACTTGCAATGTATTTCTGCATTTTCATATAAGTTAATAATAACCTTTTTCCTTTGGGGTTTTTTGTATTTCTTCTTGTACATGTGGCAACTATTTTTTAAAAAAAGTACTTCCTAATGAATGCTGAGCTGTTTACCGACAGCCATGGATGATCTCTGCCAGAATGGGAGACACCATGCACATAAACAGTATGACAGCCTTATTATTTTAAAAAATAAGGTATTATTTTTAGAATTTTTGATATTCAACATGCAAAATCAATATAAACCATATCAAAGTTAAAAACAACTTTTCTGTCACTAAAAATTTCACAAGTGTTTTTAAGATTGGTTGAAAACTAACTCCTAGATATTTACTCTTAATATTCATTTTTTTCTTATGTTAATAAGAGTTGCTGTGATTCATGTAATATGATGGCCCATTTTCACAAAACAAACCCAGCAATATTTCTACAAGTTTCTAGACACTGTGTATTAAATTCTCTAGATGAGGTAACTAAAAAGTGTATTTTTCTAGTAGGTCTCTCAGAGTTTGCACCTTAGAAGAAAATTATCACTTACTACTGAGGAAATAAATGACCTGGAAACCAAAAATGTAGTTTTCTGGGCATCACACCATTAGCTAAATAAACTGTCCCCTTCTGCCTGCATTATTGCATACTAACAATTCAGACAAAACTGCAGCAACATTTTCCTGTTTCTTTTTCTAACATAAACCCAGAAATTAATGAAAGACATAACTAAAAGGTAATTCTGAAAATTAGAAGAAAAAGTGAACAAGTTTGGTGCCCAGGATTAGAGAGCTAAATTGTTAGGCCTTCTTAAAGTCTGTCATTGGCAGAGGAAAAAGACCTTGGCCTTCAGGCTCCAGGCACACAGCGTGGGAATAATCTATTTTTGAAATGTTTTGATCAAGTTTTAGAAGTCTGTTGGTTGTCCATAACTAAGTTTAGCATTTCATGTAATGTAGACAATTCTGATATTTTAAAACATTATTTTTGTTTAATGTTACGAAGTGAGGAATTGTGTTTGTTTTTGATCACTGTACAAAATTCTTTTTAAGAATTTCCAATTGCTGAACTAAATATTTATCAATCTATGATTATTTAAAGACCAACAAAATACTGTTTACAATATATAAAGTTAATTATTCATCTTTGCTATGCTTTACATATGGGTTTTATTCTAATTTATATTAAGTAACAAATTGAAATTCATGAAAATAATCATTAATTGCTCACAGGCAATAATCAGAATACTATAAGAAATCATTCAAAGTATTTATTTCATTATTTTCCCCCTGAATTTATAAAAGAAATGTATTCACATTCTACTTGGATTTTATTTTATATGAGTTGCCTCTCAATCGAATCACATCTATCAATTGTCATCTTTCACTGAATTAGAATAGTAGAGAGACAGGAGAAAAAAGTGACACATACCTGCTTTTGCCTGAAGTTGGGCAACTTTTTGTGAGAAGGCTTGGTTATGTACGTAAGAAAACCTGCGGCAGGTATGATTTAATGACCGAAATCCAGAAAAATGGCAGTATCTTCTTCACTGACTGTCCTCAGAGTGAGTCAAAAATGGAAAAAAGTAGATTTCACAACAATATGTCACTTAAGGTTGCACAGGAAATTCGCACACTTGGCTACTTTGAAATCAATTTATCTCATCACACATCTCCAGAATCTAGGACACTTTAGGCTCCTATTAAAAGGACACTGAACTTCTAAATGTACCATTTATTGTGTCCATTTACAATTGTCTCTGAAAAAATGTTATTCTGCAACTTATGTATGTATCAGGAACAGAAGTTTGCACACCAGTGTGCTTAGCCAATTTACATGTCAATCACAAACATTGCCTTGTTAAGAGATTCTTCTATTTAAGTCTTACCTTTGAAATTAGTTTAAATTGCTGAATCTCAGCTTGTATTTTTGAATTATATTTATTTATTTTAGTGCTGGTATTTAATCTCAGGCTCCAAGGATGCTAACTGTGTGTAATACTGTGCAGTTCTTTTCATCATATTCTTATTATATCACTCACATTATAATGAAAAATTATAGAACTTTCAGTAACATTATCAAGAGATAACAATATTTGTCACAAGTTACTGTTTGTCATTGCTACATTTTCAATATCTTGTCAGTGATACAAAAACTCATGTTCTCTATTTTTCTGCTTGAGTTCTTAAAATTACTCCATTTTCTCTAGGTCTAAGGCACAACGATTCAGCCTTGAGGTAAAATACTTTGGCTTTGTCATACCTGAGGGAACCTGAATGCTGGAGTAAGAAGGCATTAAATCAACACTGTCCTTCTCACAGCCCAAGACCCTAAAACAGCTAAGACATTGCTGGGAATTACAGGCTTTTGTTGCATGTATGGTGAGCTTGCACGACTCTTCCATCAGTTTATAAAAGAAGCTCAGAAAGCAGATACCATATTTTAACCTGGTAAGCTGATCTTCAAACTGCATACTAGAAGCTTAACCAAGCACTCATAAATGCCTCAGCTCTGAGCCTACTGAGAGGAAACCATTTCAGTCTGTATGTTGATGAAAGGTGGGGCACGCTTTGGGAGAGCTTACTCAGGATCCTGGACCTGCTCAACAGCCTGTGGAGTATCTGAGTCATAAATTAAAGACTACAGCAAAGGGTTGGCATCTGTGTCTTACAGCTATGGCTGCTGTAGCTCTCCTGGAACCAGAGGCATTCAAGCTGATTTAGGCAAAGGTTTCACTGCATGTATACCTCACAATGTGGCAGGACTTCTTTCTTTCAAAGGGAACCTATGATTCACAGATAGCTAATTTCTCAGACAGCCAACCATTCAAACAAAGACACGTTCTTTCTCAAACCCTGACATCTTTCTACTAGAAAAGAAAATAATTGAGGTTAAAAGACATGATCACAAACAAGTAATTCGCCATATGTACACAGCTAGAGAAGACTTGTTAGACACATCTTACTGACTTTGATTTGTTTCCTTCTGTGATGGCAGATCATTTATGAAAAGTGGGACAAGAAAGGTAGGGTATGCAATAAGGATTCTACATCAAATGCTTTAAAATTCTTCACTTGCCCCTGGGACTAGTGCCCAGCTAGCAAAATTCATAGCTCTTATAATTATAAACAATAAACTAAGAACTTGATGACTCAGTAAGGACAGAAAGTCAATATTTATACTGGTGACTCAGATTATGCCTTCCTAGTGTTACATGCCTACATAACATATATAAATAAAGAAATTACCTGACAACTAGTGAATCTACCATAAAGTACCATACGGAAGTAGATGTACTTTTATCATCTGTACACATGCTCTCCAAAGTAGGGGTGACTCACTGTAAAGGATATAAAAATGGAATTTGCAAAATATCTTAAAGTAATCAACTGGCTGATGCATGTGCAAAAAAAAAAAAACTCAATAAAGGTGTTCCCCTTTCAGTCCCTTTGATCTGAGAAATAGCTCTTCATCATACTCCACCCAAATATTCCCAGGAAGAAATAGAATGGATTCCCTCCCACAGGTGTCAGTTCCTTTCATCAGGATAATAATCAGATGCTGGCAAATTGTTCCTTTCTGGTACTAGTTGATGGAAAATTACTGTCTTTACAACAAACCTTTTACTCTGGGAGTGATAAAGTCCCACAAAATGACCTTAAAGTTACTCATTAGGAGAGGAGTTTTCTTAGATGATACATCAGATAGTTAAGACATGTGAGCTCTACCAAAATAACAGTCCTCTTAACTAGGCCATAACCCCTCCAGTTATACAGAAACATGGTAAATATCCTGGAGAACATTGGCAGCTCAGTTTTATTCATATTCCAAAGAGTAAGGAGCTCTAAAAACTAGTGGTTTGGATAGATACTTTCACAAACTGTACTGAGGCCTTTTCTTGGAGAACTTAAAAAGCACAAAAGTGGTAAAAGTTTTAGTCTCAGAAATCATTCCCAGACTTGGACTCCTTAAGAATTTACAGACTGGGCCTTCTTTTAAGGAAACAGTTACACACAGTGTCTCTCAGACCCTGGATTTGTGTGGAGGCCACGATCATCAGGAAAAGTAGGAAAAATGAATGAGACCTAAGGAGATATCTTAGCAAAATGAAGCCACCTATAGTGGCTTACAGTGACCTCACTCACTACTATTAACTCTTATAAAAGTACAAATACAACTCAAATCCTAGGCCTCACTCTACTTGATATGACTTGTGGATCCCCTTTTCTCACTAATGATTTTCTCTTCAACAGAATAAGGGGTGCCTTAATAAATTCATTGGATAAATTACAACAGACTCGGGGGTGGTGCAAAGATGTCAGATAGATAACAACTGGTGACAGAGGCTCCCTGAGGTAGTCAACATAGAATTCAACATAATACAGTGTGGAGAGCCACCAAACAGGGGGAGATGAATTATCTCTTCCCAGGATGAAACTAAGGTGAGAAGAACCAATCAAACATATAGTCCCAGTGCTATTATTGGAACAGCTAAAGGTTCAGTACTGCTGTTACAGTGGCCGACTTGCCAAACCATCTGAGGTCCTGTTGCTACGACTTAGTGGAGGCACAGTCAAACTGAGGTTGAGGGTTGGCCAGCCAATCAGAGAGCTGAGCTGGCAGGGAGCCCGCATCAACCTGTGGTGAGTGATGGGATTGGACCCATTCCATAAATCGGGGGGCTCTGGCAGAGGTCTTTCTGGGACCACGCAGGACTGACCAGCACAAAGGGCAGCAGTGACTTGAGGCAATTGTTCCCTTCCCAAACAGGATTGGTGAGCTAGGCCTGAGTCATGTTACCTGGCTGAGACCCAATAGGTTATCAAAATCAATTCCTTATGGTGGCAGTGGACACTAACCCAGTGAAGCCTGAGAAGTTTGACTGAAATGGAGTTGAGGCAGTGCACAGTAATACAGTGCAGGCCTCAGCAGCTTGACTGATCCAGAGGGGAGGGGCCAGCATAGCTGCACCTGTTTGCAGTGGGAAGGGTCACCTAGCCAGCATGCTTCAGAAGAATTGTAACCAACAAAGAAAGAAACTGGGGCATCCTGGAAGAAATAAAAAAGATGGGGAGAGGAAGCAACAAGAAAAAGTCTCCAGATACCAACCCTGAAAACCCTGACCCAGGACATGTAAATACAAAGGAGAATGAGAGCAACAAATATGCAATATCAGACACAGCACCAGTGGACACAAAGAGATATCTTCAGGACCTAATAGACAAGTTCAAAAGTGAAATATTTAGCCAAGTAAAGCAAGATATAAGAAGATTAATAAAAGAAATGCTAAGAACCCCTCAAGCAGACACAGATGGAAGAAGGGAGGAACTCAAACAAAGGAGAGAACCATTTGATGAAGAATATAAACAAAATATAGAATACATGAAGCAGATTCAAAGAAATTACCAGGAAATTAAAACCTCTATGAAAAGATGGCAAATCTGTTTGAAAGAAACTAAGGAAGAGGATTTTGCATGCTTTGGGGAATATCTGTGGTGCTGGAGTAGAGAGAGCAATGGGAGAATAGCAGGTCAGAGAGAAGACAAGGGTGAGATCATGCAAGATTCAGAGGTCACTGTTCACACTCACCTGAAAATCTGTTGGAAAACTTTTTGCAGAAAAAAGTCATAAGAGATAGCTTCCTGTTTTAAATGTATTCTGGATAATCTGTTAGCATTATAATTTGTGTGTGTGTGTGTGTGTGTGTGTGTGTGTGTGTGTGTGTGTGTGTTAGGGTGGGGAATAATTTTAACTAGGTGTGAGGCATCTACTTAATACCCTATTTGGGTGAAGAATGATGCTGGTCAGGTTAGAGCTGTAAAAATTTAACTAGATTCTTGACAAATTTTGAAACTGTGTGAAAAAAAACTCAGGCATAGATCCAAGCTTATTGGTTCAGCAATACACAAAAAGTTGTAGTCATTGATTCATATAATGGATTAACATATCTATTCATTGATAGATGGAGAGAGGGGAAGAAGTTTGGTTCTAGATATAAATTTTAAAAATTTATTAAATATTGAGATACATATAGGCCATAACACAGACATTTTGGCACACAATTATGAAGATCAGAAAAGGGATTTGTTCTGGGCATGCAAATTTTGTAGGCATACTTCTATTAATGATATCATGAAGTGGTACCATGAAGTATGTTAGCATCAAATATCTATGATTTGACTTTTTAGAAATCCAAATGTGTTAGGTACTGAGGTGACAAGGATAACCACAAAAGTTTTCTGAGAAATGTAAAGAGATTGACTTCTGGGAGAACATGGCAAATAGATAACAGCACCTATGGAGGCTCTCTGAGATAGCCAGCTTAGATTCCAGGAATGGTGCAGTGTGGGGAGTCCTAAACAGGAGGAGATATTCCCTGTCGTCCCAGGAATGAACTAAGCTGAGAGAAACCAACTGAAAATTCAATCCCGGTGCTACAACTGGAACAGGTAAAGTCTCAGTGCTGAAGCTGGAACCTGTGCCACTGGAAACCACGGTTTGAATTTCTTGCCGCTGCTGCTGCATCTGAATCAGCAGAGCAGGGATAGAGAAGCAAAAGCTCTGAGAGTGGGA